GGGTGAGAATTTGAGGGTGCCCTTGGGCCGACTTGGCACGGTGAGGGGGCCGTAAGGAGATCACAGCTCTCCTGCAGGACCCCGCTGTGACAATGTACTTTTGGGTTGTGACCCACGGGTTGAGAAACGCTGGACTAGATGACCTCCTGAGGTCATTTCCAGCCCTCATTTTCTATGGTTCTATGATAGCTCAGCATGCAGAAAATTCCAGATCCTCTTTCCCAAGTCAGTGAGAAATAGCATGTTTTCTTCCATTTTGTTTTCTGTTGTACACCAAACCTTTGCTGAAGTTACTTTATTATACCTTGGAACTTGAGGTAACAGTTTACCTAGAATAGGCATCCATTGTATTGCAGGAAAGCACCAAAACATGTTAACAGACTGGGATGATCCCTCCTAGGCACACAGATGAGATTTATATAATCATATAGTCAACCCTTTGCATGCATATTTGTAACTTTTTCTTCTAGAAATTTTTTTTTTTTTTTAAATTTCCCCCAGGTTCACAGGCAGGCTGGCATTTTCTAGAGATAATCCTAAAAATATTTTCAAAAATAAATTATTGGAAAGGCAAAATGCATTCTGTAGGGAACCCTTCATAGTCAGCTATGCACTGCTTGTTTTTGTCTTCTCCTTTTATTAACAGAGTTGGGGCCAAGCTGTGAAGTTTGCACCCAGATCAGAACTTCTGCAATGTACCAAGCTGGTCAGATCCAGGGCCGCTTTGTCAGACGCATGTCTGGTTTACTAAAAAAAGGTGTGTATTTTTAATTTTGTGGAAAATGATAGTGTGGTATCACTGTTGACAGAGACAATGAAAACAAATGCTTTTCTATGTATAGCCCTCTTGTCCGCCCCCTCTTTCCCCACACAGATCTTGACATACAACAAGCTGTGCTTAATATATTGTGTGCAACTGTCTGATATGAGATGAAAAGTAATGCCGAGCTGAGTCAAACTTTATGATACTGTTCTGAATGTTTAAATAAAGGGCCATGCGCAAGCAAAGTCCAAGATATGCGGAAGTATTGATTCTCCTGTAGTACCCTAGCCTCCACACCCTATACTGGGGGCTCCATTTTCCAGACTGGAAGGCACAGAACCGCCTCTACATATTGGTGATGGATGCAAATCTCAGGAGACAAGTCCCAACCCTTCTCTTTTTTTTTAGGTGTGAAGAAGAGAGATTTGAAGGGCGTCTAAGAATCAGAAACAGAAAATTTAGTAATCTGGGCAATACAGATAACATAACCACTTGCCCTAGAAGAGCTGAAAGATCCAGTGCAGAGAAAAGCAGGGAACAGACATGGCATCATCATTAGTATTTCAAAAATTAAACTGATGACCACAATGGGAGAGAGAATCAGAGCTGACACAGATAATGAGCCTAGGGCAAGTCTCACATTTTACATATCTAGGTGCAATCTACACAGAAGACATTGAGAACCAGATCCTATTCCAGCTATTAAGTGTATAAATATATTTAGGCACCTAAGGTGTGATTCTATTCCACCTGGTTCAAGTCCTGAAAATCCAATTAATGTATCTATTTTTGTAATGCACCCTCATCTTACCCTGAAGACTAAGTCATACAAAAGCAGTAAAAAGGAGGAGGACCCACACATCTTACTGGAAAGAAAATTACAAGCATTTGAGATGATGTGCTATAGAAGACTCCTGAACATGCTGTATACCCCAAAATAAATCCAACAAATGGGTGCTTAAAAAATCTGGAGCCAAGCCTGAATTAATAAAAATAGTAAAAAAAAGAGTAAATATCAATATGCTGGTCACATTCTAAGAATAAGAGACAGTCTAGCAAATAATACAATAGATAGTTGTATGCCAGAGAAGGGAAGGGTACAAAGAGAGACGGTACAAAGACAGTCTAGACTGGACACAAGGGGCTCATCTGCATGTCACCCTACAGCAATGTAGTGATCGCATGTGTCTACCCATGATCGCCAACTATGTTGCTATAGCGACTAGGGCTTTTCCTGATTAGGTTGTCTTTAATGCCATGGCTGTCTCTGACACCAGATGAAGTGGTAGTTTTTTTAATGTGTAACTGCCCCGAAGTACTTAGTACATTGTATCCTGATGTGTGACAATTCTGCTATCAAATTTACTCTGTAACTGGAAGGCATCCTTAAATCAGAGAAGTGTGATTAAAATGGTTACAATTAGTCAAGTAGAGTTGCACTGGTGATAGACATGATGATCCAGGGAATATGCAGCAAGTAAGGTTTGTTTGGTAATATCTCTTTCTGAACCAGCTGTATAATTGGGGGAAATATTAGACAAACTCTCAGGCACAAAATACTCTTCCTCAGGTTTGGGAAATAAAAAAGCAGATACAGCCTAAGTGAAACACCAAGTAAAACAATGCCTTTTAGCCACTAGAAGATGCTGAATTTCTCAACCAAGTTATCACATGATAAAAAACCAATATATCCACATTTCATGTGGAACATCTTTGTGGCTGGTTTGCTGTGTGGTTTAATTTGAACAGGTGACATGCTTCTCAGCATAGTAGAAAGGTCTGCAGCATGAGCATCTTGGAATAGAGCCATTCCTAGGGGTATGTGGGGCCAGGGGTTGGTGAGTGGTTGGAATGTGGAGCGGGTTCTCTGTAATCCAGGATAGCTATACACCACAGCAGCAAGTCCCACCTGATGAGTAGTGGAAGCTGAGGACAGTGGTAGGTCTGTGGAGCAAATAGAAGTGGTCAGAAGTAGCTTCAAGCCCATAAAGAAATAATTAAATAAATAGTAAAGTACCCAGGGCCTCATCTTTGCTATACCCAGGAATTTGTGGCAGGGAAAGGCAACCTTTTTTTGGCTATGGTCTGGAATGACCCATGCTGGGTCAGAGGTGGGCACATGGGTGGCTGTAGAATTTTGAAAAGAGGTATGCAGGTAGGCAGGTGCATCATCACATATAGAATAGCACACATTTTTCTCCAGTTAAAAAGAAGCTAGAAGCTTTATTAATATGCTAGGGGCCTAAGGGTGTATTATTGAGTTTAAGGTTGAAGCAAAAACACAAATAACTTCATTGGAATGAGTTAAAAACAATTTGCCGGGCTATAAAATAGGAGCTTCATTACCAGGAGCAGCTGACACAGCAGAATTGCAGAAAAAGGATAGCTTGATTGGTGGAATATTAAGACCATTAAAAAGAAGAATGAAGAGTTTACAAGGGATCAGGTAGATTACAATGAGCAATGAAATCAATTGATTCCCTCAGCACTGCCTGACTAAAAATGCTACTGCCACTGTCACATAGTTGGCTTTAAATTTTGGGTGCAGTAGGAATCAAAGGGGAAAGGAAATCAAAGGAATCAAGTGCAGTAGTGCACACCCTCCTCTCACTCCCCACCCTGCTCAGATCTGCCTGTAGGTGGGCAGGTAGGCAAGTGCTAGGATCTGGTCACTGGCATCACTTGTTCCTGTGGTAACTGGGGAGAGTGCCGATTTTCAAAGCCCCCTGCCACCAAATGTTGCTGAAACTCCATGCCCATGGACCAGATCCTGCCTGCAAGCTATAGGTTGCCAACTCCTGGTTTATGGCTGTAGAGACACCTAAGAATAAATGAGAACCTGTAGAGACCCATAATTGCTGTTACTGTACAACTGTTGGAATGGCTTCACTCAAATGCAATAGCAGTCTCATAATTAAGAGGAAGAGAACTAAACAGGGGTGTGATGGCTACACAATTCATGAAATACTGTAGAAAATCTTCTGTCAGTGCTGCCAGAGGCAAATTTTCTTTTAGGAAGAGCCCAGTAAAAATGTCATACCTGGAAATACTTTCTAGTTCATTTAATTTCTGACAGATCAAAACTGTTTTAAATAGCTTTGTGTTTTATCCTTTACTGGAACTCTGGTTGTTTGGAATGCGTGAGCTATGCTCTCCTACATCTCTGGCTAGCTAAAATCTGTCCCTAAGCAGTGAGCAAATGTCCTTTCCTTATAGCTTTCTCAATTTCATTTTATTAAGTAAGCCTTTTTTGTGAAAGCAATTATGCTTCTTTTTGATGATGAAATGTGCAATTGCTTCTAAGAGTCTCCTCCACAAATATAATTTTTATAATGATATAATAAATTCTATTTGATCCACCTCAGAAATGATAATTTGGTACTTTATTTCTCTCCTAGCTATAAATGGCTGCCTTTTCAGTTTAAAAAATCAATTGCTCTGATACATAATTTACGAGACATGACAAAGAAATCTCCTTTTACCTGACAGGTAAAAAATAGAGCTGGGCTTAATGTATATAGTGGATCGTCTGCAGCTTTATGACATAGGTTGGGTGGTGGAACTTGGTAGGATATTTTTCCTGTGAGCTTTACTTCTAGGCCCCTGGCACATGTACTTAAAGGTGCCATGGGATTTGATCCCTAATCCCAATAACTGCACCTCCTGCCATGCCAAAAGTGAATGATTGTCAGTACCACCTGCTGGTGACCCAGGGATGTCCAGGGCTGATTTCAACAATTGGCTGATTGTCCAGGGTGGATGCCTGGCAGCCATGATGTGTGGGTATACACCTTAAATTTGGGGCTCCATACAAACCAGTCAGAAAATGTTCCACACATACTGTGGAACATTTTTATGGCTAGTTTGCCATTTTATGCTACCTTACATAAGGTGCACATGTTGCACCCTTACCAAGTATGGCATGAATAACATGTTAATTATGGCACATTGTAACATGCAAAGGGGGCTGTAGACCAGTGGTCTCCAACCTTTCTATGGTGAAGATCACTTTTTGGCACCCCAGGATCTACTATGCCTCTGCCCCATAGGTGATGCATGCCTCATGAGGCTGGGGGGGGGGGGGTGGGGCACGGTGACCACCTGCAGGTGGTGATGTGGGCATCGGCAGTGAGGGCGGGCCAAGCGGGGACCATCTGCAGGCAGCCATGGTGGTGTCAGTGGTGAGGGTGGTGTCTCCCCATGGCTGATCACTGACTGGGGGGTTCCCTGCAGCCAGATGTTGAGCCCAGAAGTGCTGGTGGCATGCCCGGAAGTGCCAGTGGCACTACTTGGGGGACGGAGGGGGCGGGGGGAGTGTTGACTGGGGCTTCACCTGCCCCCCCCTGCCTGTCACCTAAGCCAAGAGCACTTGCTCTGAGGGGGTGCATATGCACCCCCCTTGCACCCCCTATGTGTTGTCTATGACCTGCCCTGCCCTTGTCCCCCCTCCCACCTCCTGGACAAGCTTCCCTGGGCTCTGACTCCACTCAATTAGCCCAACGCAGGCAGCAGGAGGCGTGGCTCAGCCCAGCCACATGTGTCCTGCCACTACCGATCATGCAGCCTCTGACAGACTCAGATTAACTGTCAGAGGCTCCATGATTGACCATTTGATTGAGATCGAGTGGTTGGTGACCACTGCTCTAGACTCTTAAGCATGACTGTAGTGTGAGCATCAATGAAGGAAACTTCTGAGACCAATACTACAGGTGTTATTTTTGCAGAAGTGATGGATTGAACACATATGTGCTTCAGTATAGCTAAGTAATGGTCTATGCACGCTAAGTATTTAAGTCCCTGCTGTTTGCTGTTGAAATGGTAACTCTGGTGCAGGAATTGACAAGTATCATGTCAATTCCATGTCATGCTTCCTTTGTGGATAAATTTTACTTGTGTGTTGCCAGGTAACTTCAGAGAAAGAGATGCTCTTATTTGGGATCTAACAGCATTGATAACTTGTTAAGCTGTCTATACTCCAAGATCTAAAAACAATGTGGGCATGAAAACAATTATGCATTTCTTTTATTTAAATTGTATTTCCCTGATTTTTGTGTTGCAGTCTTTCCAGTGGCCATACAACACCTTCTGCATAGCCACTTTGGTCCCCAAGCACCTATCTATTCTCCTCTCTGACATCTGCTGTCATGCACATTGAGTGACAACTGATCCTACTAATGAATTATTTGGACTTTTGCACACCACTTAATAGTTTTTTCTATATATGGGCTACTCTTCCAGCTCACTCTTTTCTGTCTCTGTCCTTATGGCTTCCCTCAGACATGTAGGACAGATAAACTCCTCGTTGGATTTTTTTTTTTTCACTTTTTCTGCCCCACTTCTCAAGTGCTGTAATAATTACATTCACAGCATTTCTGTCAGACCTGACTTTCAGTAGCCATTAATATAGGCCATACATAGGCCTGTGCAGAATAAGTCATGGGTATGTTGTTGTCAGACTTGGCCATTTTCAAGAGGTCTAGGCCTAAGATGGAGAAATGTGACTAAGGCAGAAGGCCCCAGAAGCCAATCAGAGAGATCATTCATTAGAATATTAGGATGAGCCATCTATAAATATTGGGCATAGGCTGGATGAAAATTTGGATTACCCAGAGCTCAGACTGACACAAGTGTCCAGGGGAACTGAGAAGCCTGGCCAGCAGACTTGTTTTTTCACTGGATCGAAGGCTATGTAAGCATTGTCCTTATTGATACAAAGTCTTTGCTATTGCATGTCCTAATAAAGCTTTTGAGTTATGACTGGACTGGTCTCACTGTATCATCAGTCTCATTCTCAAGCACAGTTAAAATTAAGTGTAACATTAGAACTGTAAGGGTTTTTATTTAGTCATAGATATAGTGTGTATTGCTGCCACCACTGCTTCTCCCTACTGCCCAGCTGTGACATGGGCAAAGCTCACTGTTGTGGCATACTGCAATCAGAGCCAAAGCTGCCCACCATCAAATGCTGTCAGAGCCCCTAAGTCCATGGGCTGGAACTAGTGGCTCCAGTGGTTGGATCTGGCTGCTTGATAGGTTGCTGACCACTGTTCAAAGCAATTTTGGTAAATGAATGAAGAAGACAAAGAGTTAACTAAATTAAAATGAACTGTAAGTGCGCTGAGCCCTTACAT